GCATGTGGGATCCTCCCGGACCGGGGCACGAACCCGTGTCCCCTGCATCGGCAGGCGGACTCTCAAACACTGCCCCACCAGGGAAGCCCCCGATGTCATATTTTAAACAAAGAAATAAGAAACCAGCTAAAACTTTTTAAAGACTCATAGTAGACGTCTAGCCTTAAGTGTCAATGGCCAAGGAATACAATGAGTAGGAGGTGGAAGGAAGGGTGAGTGGCTCCCAACAGCATATAGAAAGACAATGGAAATCTTGCAAGTCAATTCACATACCAAATAACAAATTGTATGATTTACTGATAGATGATAGATAAATAGATAGAGCTGAACAAGAATCAGCATAAGGCATTTCACAACTCTTTATGAAAAGATTAATCTGATACTGACATCTGAAAAAGACCTCATAAAAGTATACTATAGCTGAGTCACTTTGTTATACAGCAGAAACTAACACAACAATGTAAAGCAATTATACTCCAATAAAGATGTTAAAAAAAAAATCACGTTAAACATCATTACACACATTTTTCTAAAAACAAAAAGACCTCATTATAAAATTGTCCTATGGCATGCATTTTGGGGCAGCTCTAAGCAAAGATGCAGCATAGATATTGGGAATCTGTAAGATCCCCAGATTGGACTGGTGTAAAATGCAAGCATGTAAGCAGGCCCAATGTTTCCCAAAGAGCACAATGCATGCTCTCGGAGGTTCCTCAAATGGTTTCAAATGGCATATAGACATTAAATAGCATCAACCCCCATAGAAAAAGCTACTTCCTCTTCGATCGATATGATTATGTCAAGAAACAACTCTCGTTTTAGTGCCGTTGTGTCATCAAAAACTGTCTAGCATGTGGTAAACTACCCTTAGTAAACAGAAAACAAACGAAACAAAACAGAAAACCCGGAAGCAGACGTCTATTTAACAGGCATCCAAATACACTTCTACTTCCTGGGTTGAAAGTCACAAACTGAGATTAAGGTCATGGCTTTTCACCAAAGGTTTTCCAAAAGTGTGTGTCTTCCTCTTCTTGGACAGGAAATAACCTTTAGGGAGCTTCAACACAGACATGCCTTTAGAATTGACTGATACAAAGAGTGTTCCGTGTTTTCTTGACCTCATACTTCTGTGGTCAAGATCTTTATCACATGAGGAGCATTTTAGTTTTACTGTTCCATCACAACTGATGATGCCAAGCACATTCAAGGGACATTTAAGTTTTGCTGGGCTTTCTTCTCTTTCACATTTCTACCTTCAACCAGTCCTGATGTTACATAAGGCAGATATCCAGCATAATATTAAGGTAGATTTTCTGTCAACTGGAAATTGCTCTGGATGTCATAGCATGGATTTAACAGCGATAGATTACCTGACCAGATCAACTGATCCCCTGCCGCTTTATACTTATTTATAATTAAAATAAAGTAAAATAATATAATAATAGCAAC